TGTTGATGATGCTGTTGCTGCTGTTGTTGTTGCCGTTGCCGCTGCGGTTGAAGGGGTGGTTGTCTTTTTGGTTGTGCACTCTGGTACACGTCTTGTGGTTGTTGGTGATGGTGTTGTTGTTGTTGTTGTTGTTGTTGTTGTTGTCGTTGTTGTTCCTGTTGTTGGTGATGATGATGTTGTTGTTGTTGCTGCCACTGTTCTCGCTGTTGCTGATGATGTTGCTGCTGCTGTTGTTGCTGCTGCTGTTGTTGCTGCTGCTGCCATTGTTGTTGCTGTCGCATCTGTTGCTGTTGCTGCTGCTGATATTGATTCTCCTGCTGCAGCTGCTGTTGTTGAACGGCTTGATCTGGCTGGCCGGGTATCGCGGCATGGGAAGAGTTCGAGTCCCCCTGTCTTGCCAACGATGCCTGGCTTTGCAAGGATTTGAGTACACCGTCGAAAGGATTCGATTTCTTATTCTGGGCACCGGTTCCTATAGCGAGTCCGGCTGTTTGCAGTTTGGACAAAGCGTTCGCAGCTTCTATGAGTTTATCCAACAACAAAACTGGGGAATCGTTGGTTTTGTCAATACTAGTGGCAGAACTGACATTCGTATTTGCAGGAACGGAGTTAATACCAGTGAGAGCTTTCTCAGAAATAATAGGGTGGGGGATTGCAGTCGTGTTCGTATTCGACGAAGCAACATCCGTATTCGTATTATTAGTATTCGTTTTAGAAATTATCCCAGACGGCTGAAGGTCTATCAGAGTATTTATATCACTTGCAACGGGCAGAGTCGGTTTCGGTTTATATTTATTCATGACGTAGTCGATTACCTCTCTCGGTGCGGTCGGGAACGTTCCTTTAGGTAACAGCCACACGAATCTTAGAATCGGTATCGATTCGCCAGTCCTTCTTTTGGAGCGTCGACGATAATAATAATATGGTTGCGCCCTTACCTTGTGTCTGATCGAATCGAATGCCGAATCGGACCTCGGCTTTTTCATTTTCGAAAGAAAATTTGATGACAAGGCACTGCGTGCGTCGATCAAGCTTCTCAGGTGTGTTTTGAGATGCTGGTTTTCGAAATATCCGTCTCGATGGAGTAGATTTTGCTGATAATTTCTCTTCAGATCTCTTTGTTGAGCTGCAAAAAATAATGTGTTGTTACGTTTGGAATCGTCCAAAACCCGACGTTGTTGCACACCGCGAAGGAATCCTTTCTTCAAATGTTTTAATCTGAGCCTAAGACTAAGACTGCCTTTTGTTCTTCTCTTCCGAGGAAAGGATTTAACCGGTAAAACTGGTCTGTGGAAAAATCTGGAACGTTCGACTGATATCTCCTCAGGACTTCTCCGTCTGACCGTGTGGACGATTCTCTCTTTCTGAATAAATCCTTTCCGGAGCTCCTTCACCGCGACTGTTGGCCCTTCGTCCAGTCGTTCGAAAAAAGTCCTACGTTTGATGTCCCCTGAGAACAGAACGTAGCTATCCGGGTCTTCCAGCAAGGTTTGGATGAGAAAGCTGCGAAATTTCTCCGCTTTGCTGTTGTGAAGACGCCCGGTGTTGTAGCGAGATGAGTTGATACTTGTCAGTATTGTGCTCATATCGGAGCCGGACAGGACCTCTACCTGCGAGGCGGGGAGCGACCATGTAAGGAAGAGGGCGGGGCTTAGCTCCACTTGGGCGTTGTAGCGTCGTGATGAGGGAGGGGCTAAGGAGAGCGCATTTTGTGATGACGTCATTTCTGTGGAAGGCCCCGCCGGGGAAGATGTGGGTTTAGGAATTTGATCCGGTTCGGAATTTGTGTCTGAATTTTGGGATTCGTTTTGTTGAATGTTTGTTGTTGCTGTCTGCTGCTGCTGCTGCTGCTGCTGCGCTTGTTGTTGTTGTTGCTGCTGTTGTTGTTGTTGTTGTTGTTTCTGTAGCTGATCTTGGCTTTGCA